TTCTGTAGGCTGGGGGATGTTTTATCATCTTTGACGTCAAAAAAAGATACCATTCCTTACGAGAACTCATTTCTTACAAGAATACTTGCAGATTCACTAGGTAAATGCTTCTGCTTTCGAGTGCGTGTGCCTCTACGTTTAGCTCTAAATATATTTTCTTTGTTTTGAGGATTTCTTTCCATTCCTTGAAGTTCCTTCAAATGAGCACAATTTCCTGTAACGTGCAGGAGGGAGCTCCAAAACATTGATGATCGTCAACATTTGTCCAAGTGCACGGAACTTGTCTGAAATAATGTCATGTCTCAATTATGCCGCTAGAGCTCGGAATACTGTACCAAGCCTTGGGAATCGAGACACAATTAAGAAATGGAGAGACGTGGTAAGTGGAATTAGAGAATCCTGTCCTCCTCCCTCTACTTCTTTTCTCGTATCTTGACATTCATACATATAACAGATGGAATTGTCACAATAAAAGTATTGAATAGAATTTCAAATTATAATACATATTCTGGAACTTCAGTAATACCTCATGAATGAAGAACAAAGATTAAATTTCTGTAGCTGAAAGTAAAGCAGAGCGTGGAAGGATTCACTTGACAGACTGTTAGGATTTTACTTAATTAGTCTGTTGGTTTGATCTCTTCCCCTTTTGGAGTTTAGTTTATTTCTCTGAAGAATAGATTTGGGGGGTACACGTAGTTTTTTTTGCTTAACTTACTATGTACACGTAGTTTGAAAGTATGCCGTGTAAATATCCGTTCTTCCTATAGGCAAATGATGCTCGGAAGGAGGTATTGGAGAAAGAGAGGGAAACTCAGCGTCTGAAACAAGAGGTTACGGGTTTAAAACAAGCACTTAAAGAAGCAAATGACCAATGTGTACTGCTCTATAATGAAGTACAGAGAGCGTGGAGAGTTTCATTCACACTGCAATCAGATTTAAAGGTCTTCAATGCTGACTGGGATAGTGTCTCCTTATTTCAATTATTCCTTATAAGATTCCTTTCTGCTAACGAGTTACTTAATTGATTTTGCAGTCAGAGAATACGATGGTTGCAGACAAACATAAAATAGAAAAGGAGCAGAATTCTCAGTTAAGAAATGAAATAGCTCAACTTTTACAGTTAGAACAGGAACAAAAGCTGCAGGTACAACAACAAGATTCCACCATTCAAAATCTCCAGGTTGGTACTTCATTAGTATCTACTTTCTAAACTTCGAGACATGCTGCTAGCCTTTTATCTTAAACATCTACGTAACAGAAAATAGATGGTGAAATTGCTTTCAAGTAGCCTTCTCTGAATATGATAGTCGTGACATTTGCCTTCCCTTTTTTTTTACATAATTTTTGCAGTCTAAAGTGAAAGACTTAGAATCACAACTAAGTAAAGCCCTGAAGTCTGACATGACAAGATCGAGAGATCCCTTGGAATCTCAGCCCCGAGCAGCTGAGAACACAGTCAATTCTTCTGCAGTTACCAAGAAACTTGAGGAAGAACTAAAAAAACGTGATGCACTGATTGAGGTTCTGCTTCGTCTTCCTATTGAGCACAATTTTATTAGTGACTTCCATATTTTGAATTACCCAAATGATATTTGAACTGAACATTTGTCTGAAGAGAGTAGTTGTTTTCTGCAGAGGTTGCATGAAGAAAATGAAAAATTGTTTGACAGATTAACAGAAAAGTCAATGGCTAGCTCAACTCAGGTGATTCTTTTCTTTATCCTACACTGCGCATGATTCAGTATCACATCACGGACACTTCTCTTTTTGGAGCTGTTGGAAGAAAAAATCATTCTATCTCTTCTCTTCATTAAATGTTACTAATTGCCATACACATGGAGATTTTCCTGCTCCAGCTAGCTATTTGCTTAAGCTTTCTCATCCATTGTTGTATATAGGTATCTAGCCCCTCATCAAAAGCTTCACCAACAGTGCAGCCTGCAGATGTTGACAGGTAGTCATTTGATCACTTGGAACCATTTAATCCAAAATTCTGTCTTCTCTATTTTGTTTACTTCCCTTACCACCTGATCTGTATTTTCTTCAGGAAAAATAGTGCGGACGCTTTACCATCTTCAGTGGATAAAAATGAGGGCACAGTTACATTAGTAAAATCCAGCTCTGAATCAGTAAAAACCACTCCAGCTGGAGAATACTTAACAGCTGCATTGAATGATTTTGATCCCGAACAATATGAAGGTCTTGCAGCCATTGCTGATGGCGCAAACAAGCTTCTGATGCTGGTAATGCCACCGGGTTAATAGTTTGATGTTGAGTACCCTTTTAGATTTTTCAGGGATTTCTGCAGTAAATTCTGTTTGTCACTATACATATATTGCTGTTTGGGATAGGTCTTCAAATATTTATAGGTCTATATGTTAAGAAAATTTATTGGTGTTATTGTTGACTTGCAGGTCTTAGCAGCTGTCATTAAGGCTGGTGCTTCCAGAGAGCATGAAATCCTTGCTGAGATCAGAGATTCTGTCTTTTCATTTATCCGGAAAATGGAACCAAGAAGAGTAATGGATACAATGCTTGTTTCTCGAGTCAGGATATTGTACATAAGGTCCTTACTTGCACGATCACCTGAGCTTCAGTCGATCAAGGTGAGCATAACCAGATTTAATTAGCTAATTTTCCTTTTAGCTTTTCCTGCTGCTGTGTGTCACTAAGTTTCTTCTCCCGGCAAGATCAATCTCACGTCACCCACTTCTTTTAGGTTTCTCCAGTTGAACGCTTTTTGGAGAAGCCATATACTGGTCGAACTAGAAGCTCCAGCGGGAGTAGCAGCCCAGGTAGATCACCAGTTCGATATTATGATGAGCAGATTCATGGGTTTAAAGTGAATTTAAAGCCAGAAAAGAAAAGTAAGTTAGTATCTGTAGTTTCAAGAATCCGTGGACATGACCAGGTAAGATAGCTATGACTCCCAGAGATGCTTTACTTTAACCTAATAACTGAGAAATCCAAGATACAAACATACGTGTTTCTCTTGTTTCTAAATTTGTCTTAGGATACTGGGAGGCAGCAAGTGACTGGAGGAAAGCTGAGGGAGATACAAGATGAAGCCAAAAGTTTTGCCATTGGGAACAAACCCTTAGCTTCTTTATTTGTTCACACTCCGGCTGGTGAACTGCAAAGACAGATTAGGTCATGGCTTGCAGAAAGTTTTGAGTTTCTCTCTGTTACAGCAGATGATGTTTCAGGAGTAACCACTGGCCAATTAGAGCTTCTTTCCACAGCAATTATGGATGGCTGGATGGCTGGAGTGGGAGCTGCGGTGCCACCTCACACAGACGCTTTAGGACAGCTTTTGTCTGAGTATGCAAAACGAGTCTACACTTCTCAGATGCAGCATCTAAAGGTATATATGCCATGTCAAAGCTGAACTTGATGTGTTTTTTTTTCTTTTTTTTGAGTGGAAATCTCAGAATGATTTCAGCAGTAACTGATTTTAAATAAGAAATCTGTTAAGGGATTATGTTGAGATCTAGGTCTTAGTCGCTGAAGAACTTGTTTGCCATGTGTGGTCTGATACGGAAATGTTTGATTAGGATATTGCTGGTACTTTGGCTTCGGAAGAGGCAGAAGATGCTGGTCAAGTCTCGAAGCTTCGATCAGCTCTCGAGTCTGTTGACCACAAAAGAAGAAAGGTAAACCCTGAAAAAGAATCGTATGTTGTCATACCGTTAATCTCACTCTTGTTATCTCTTAAGAGTTTTTCTAGTACCTTAATTCCATTTTCTTTCTATATCAGATTTTGCAACAGATGAGAAGTGATGCAGCTTTGTTTACCTTGGAAGAAGGCAGTTCTCCTGTTCAAAATCCTTCTACAGCTGCCGAAGACTCGAGATTAGCCTCCCTCATTTCTCTAGATGCCATACTGAAGCAAGTCAAGGTATTTATAACTCTTATCATATGAAACCATTACGTGTCTTTCTTGATGTTTGTTATGATTAACTACGAGAAGAAATAAAAACGGCGTGCTTCTTGAAGGAAATAACAAGACAAGGCTCTGTCCACGTTTTGAGTAAAAGCAAGAAGAAAGCATTGCTTGAGTCTCTTGATGAACTTAACGAACGAATGCCTTCTCTGCTTGATGTTGATCATCCATGTGCACAGAGAGAAATTGATACGGCTCACCAGTTGGTCGAGGTAAGTGCTGAATAAAAGTCGAGAAAAAGATCGATCCAAAAATCTTAAGAAGTTTGATGATAAGTTGTTACTTGCTGGTTTTTTATTGGAGTGCAGACAATTCCAGAACAAGAAGACAATCTTCAAGACGAAAAGAGAGCTTCATTAGATTCAATATCTTCAACTGAAACCGATGTGTCTCAATGGAACGTTTTGCAATTCAACACAGGAGGCTCTTCAGCTCCATTCATCATAAAATGCGGAGCTAACTCCAACTCAGAGCTCGTGATCAAAGCGGATGCTCGTATTCAAGAACCTAAAGGAGGCGAAATCGTGAGAGTTGTGCCAAGACCTTCGGTGTTAGAAAACATGAGCTTAGAGGAAATGAAACAAGTGTTTGGTCAGTTGCCCGAAGCTCTAAGTTCACTGGCCTTAGCTAGAACAGCTGATGGCACAAGGGCTAGATACTCTAGGCTCTACAGAACTCTAGCCATGAAGGTTCCCTCTCTTAGGGACCTCGTTGGAGAGCTTGAGAAAGGAGGAGTCTTAAAAGATACCAAATCGTCATGAAACAACAAGATGAAAAAAGTTTCAATTTGTGTAAGTATTCTTTTCTTTTTTTTTTTTAATTACTGTGAGGCCTTCATATATTTTTGGATTTCTCTGTATTTGTGTGTACTTTGTGTTTTGCCGCCACTAATGGTGGTATTTTGTGTAAGAGCAGTTTCAGCTAAGAAAAGCTCTCACTAAATCTTCCATGGAGTTCTCTGTTTGGATTCCTGTTTACATATAAATTTAGTTACTTTCCAAATTGTAAAAAACTAAAATCAAAAGAAGGTAAATCCATTATATTGAATCTCGAATTGACTGGAGTCAAGAAAGAAGGTATAAAAAAAATGTACATTTTCTATTTTTGCTTATTGGTTCAGTCAAAAAGCTCAATAAAACTGTACACGTCAGCTCGAATTGAGTAGATATTAAAAATGAACATTTTCTATTTCTGTTTCTTATTGGTTCAAAGACAAAAATTGGTCATCAGACTCAAAAAATCTCAATAAAACGTTAGAGCAGATAAAACATGACGATCCCGTTTCCAAACCGGTTCAACTCCACCAAACAGGTAATCTGATAAAGTCTCAATACCTGATGAGTCTTTTGTGCTACATGAGCTTGTTGTGTCCGATGAGCTAAACATTGACGATAGACTTCCACTCGACCAGTCCACACGCAGCAACAAACTGTTATTCTCACTGTCTCTCTGTTTCTTGTTGTTTCTTGACGGAATTGCAGCCAAATTTCTTCTTTCCTTTGATTTCCGACCACCGTTCTTGCTCACCGGTCTCGGAGAATTTCTGTCAAAGAAGAGGATTTCCTCAGATATCTTAGTAAATGAACAAGAGTTGGGGTTTTAATGATGTCTGTCCTCTCTTTATATTCTATTCACCTTGCATAAAGAAGCATGTATGCTCCTTCTAGTAATACAGTCTCTAATTGAACCCGAAAAACCTGCGAATTCAGAATCAAGATTCGAGAAATAGATAACAGCAGCCATCATTGGTATAATAATATAAATGGTATATTGAGACCTACATTGCTGTCATCAATTTTGAACCAATCTCCATGAAGGGTTTTTATGTAGCAAACATAATGACCTGAAAATGAAGTGCTCATAGCATCCAAATGGACCACCACTGCATAGAGACTATACACGGGATGATCACCATGATTTGGGTCACTCATATACGGGCCAATATCGAGAAGCTCGGGAAAATGGATGGGTTTGCTCAGCTTCCCAAAGTTATCAGACTGCGTGAAAAAACAAATCATTCTTCTGAGTAAACCCAACAATAGTAGACACCATCAAACTAACGAAGACACCATCAAACTAACGAGGATAACGACTCTCACCTGAAAACGTTTTAGCACAACAGTAAGAATATTGGGTCCTTCCAATATCATCAATTTCTTTTTGGCTTTCTGGTAAGATTTACATCTGTGGTTGTAAAAGGAAAAACAAAGGCAAAGGAATTACTAGTAGTTTTTCAACGTATATATTAACATTGTCCATAAAAGAAAAATTCAACTACCTGCCACAGAAGTACCGGTTCTCTCCATCTAGGACTTCGTATGCTGTAAATTGAGCAAGTGCTTCTTCGAGGCTTCCTATATCCCCATCAATCTCAACAGTTAGATCCATCATCAGCTCCGATTGCTCAGATTTGTGGAGGCATTTCATGCATTTAATCTGATAAAAATGTCAATACTTGAGAATACTTTGACTGTCATAAAACAACAAAAAGACACTTTGCTAATATATAACCTTGGAATGAAGATATCCACCAAACGTAAGGCCTACTAAAGTAGTTTCTTCAGCAAACGGACCAGCTGCAGAAGCCTCTTTGAGAAAAACAGATTGCATTGTCTCAACAGCACACCTGGCATTCTTATGAAAGAACAATGTAAATCACCTTTGAGAAAATATTGAACTTCGAAAAACCGATAAAAGCTACTGAAAGCATAACACATGATTCACCTTAAAAACTCGTGTGCGTCTTCTTCTTTTCCAGGGCCAAGATGCTTCCCAATCTTTTGTAATTTTGATAAGATCTTGATAGGTGATAAAGGAGATTCTCCTCCCCTTGCCTTTAAAATTAAATGTTCAAACTCACAAACAAAACACCAACTCTTCTTTCTACCTGAAAATCCAACTATCAAGATAAGATTCCACATAGTTACAATAAGAGCAGTAAAAATTATTTTGGTGTGCAACTTACATGTTTTAGAGTGTAATCCCCTAATAAGGTATGACATAAGTGGCCGAGTGAATGCCAAGCACTGAAGGACAGAATTTGCATAGCAACTACAAAATTAATAATATAAGTGACAAACACGATTACATTAGCACATTAGATCATCATGCCAAAAGCAAGAAACGGTAAAGATAGATACGTACCTGTTTCCTAAGTTCACAAGACCAAATGGCTGTAATTCTACTTTATCACAATAAAGTTTCACAAACAACTCATATGAGAAGCTCATCTGCACAAAAAAACAGCAACGTCCCTATGGGATAATGGCAATAGATATAATCAAGGCACAAAAAACTAAAACTTGAAATAGTATATTCTAGTAACCTCATCAATAGAACTGGAAGGTTGAAACATTTTTGACGACTGTCGGGGTCTAAAATGCTGAACAACTTTCTGCACCGATGTTTTCAATCCACTACTTGAAGCTTGTGACACTTTTGGCTTACTATTAGCTTTTGAAGGTAGGAAAACAGTTGAAGATGACATGGCAGCAGAAGCACTAGATGGTTCAGATGTAATTCTTCCGTGTTCAAATGCATTTATTTCTTCTTCATACTCATCAACTGACAAAAATTGATCTGTAATTGACATTTCAGCCGAACCACCTGACTTACGAGAATTTTGATTGCCAAGTTTCCGCGGCTTTGCATCAGTCTTTCCTTTGGAATAATTTCTCGCTGATTCAACCTTGTCTGTACGATTACGTGATTTCTTCCTACTAAGTGGCCTGGTCTCATAGAGATTATCCTTTAAGTTAAAAGAAGTAGTGAAATCCACAGCTTCAGATCTAGCTTGCAGTTTATGAATACTAGGCCTACTTGTAGACATATCACAGGCAACATCAACAGACACATTTGAGGGTACTTCTGCTGATGATTCAAACGCAGTCCCACGAGACGGAAAATCCATATTCGACTCTTTTGCATCTGCAGAGAGCTTCAAGTCATCAAAATCACAAACCACCAAATGTGAAATCTTTATAGATCAAATACTAAAATCTCAAGTATCTAAAGCTATTATTACCATCATCAGATTTAACAGACTCCTCCTTTTCTTCATCGGAATCAGGCGATCGACATTCTTCTTTATGGCCTCGTCGCCAATGAAGAATTTGACACTTGCTTGAACTACCAAAAAGGTAAAAAACAAAAAAAAAATGATCTTTTTAAGAATTAAAAATCTAAACTTTTCTTGGTGATCAGATTCTAAAAGTAGTCATCTTCTGATTTGAATATAGAGAAACGATCGAATTGAGAGAGAACGAACCAGTAACGAACAGATTTGCACTGAGAGCAACGAGTAGTGGTAGGGTAAAGACAAACAGCGCAACGATAAACATCCGAAACCGAATCAACAGTGGAGGCACGAACCTCCTCCGCCAGATAAGATTCTTCGGTGGCTAAAGCAATGAGACGAATAACTTCCTCTCTCCTCACAGAAGCAGATCTCCATTGCCGACGAATCAGAAGAAAAACCAACATCATAAACCCAATCAATAGAAAACGAAACCCTAAGGTTTCACTTTCAGGAGAAACCGGCATAATAATCTCAAACGAGAGAAGCCAGAATCAATCTGGAAGAGACGAATCTTAGAAAGGTGATTAACATTGTCTACAAAAGAGATTGGTGATGATGCAAAGGAGGACGACGACGGTGATGGTGAGAGTAAGAGTAAATGTGGAAGCTAAGACGGCGGAGAAGATGGTGGCGATTAGAGAAGCGACGGCGGGTAAAGGATTTGGGCATCTGGAGAGATTTAAAGCTAGAGAGAGAGAGGGAGAGGAAGAAGAAGAAATCAGGAAATGGTGTCTTGTTAGAGAGAGAAAGTGAATAGAGAAGAAAGGAGGGAATAAACGTGCACTTGTTTTTTGTCGTTTACGAATGTTTATCTCTCTTTTGTTTTTTTGTTTATAACTTAAAAGACTTGCTCTGGTTTTATCGTTTTGGAATCTTCATTATACTAGTAATATATTCTAGGCTTGGCTAGATTATCCTAAGTTAGCTTGGGCATACCCAAATTGAAATCAACCAAACCGAGTATCAAAATATCTTTAAATATACTAACTTTGTATTAAAATTGAATTATCTTTCTTCAGAAACCGAACCAGACCTAACACTTACATGAGCCGAACCGAAAAATCACATAAATCCCAACGGATCCTAAATTGTTTAACCTGAAATATCTGAACCCGGAAAAAGGATCCAACCCCACCCGATCATCTTTATTGGATTTGAATGGAATGGATGGTGCCGGTGAACAGATTATACTGTAGTTACTAGATTGTTACCCGCGGTACACCGCGGGTTAATTATTTGATTTTTTTTTGTCTTTTTATAAACTGATGAATTTGTTGTATATAATATTTTTTGTTGTACATTGCGAGTCACATGCGTTGTAACTAAAAATGAAAATTTTAAGTTGTATTTGTTTTGTTTTGTGTTTAAAATTGTATAATTGTATTTTGATTTGTTAATCCCAGGATTTCACCCGTGATATATTATCCCGTATTAATATCAATCCAAATCCGATCCGTTCCACCATATAATCATGTCCCGTAAAATTAAACATCATTTTGTTATTTCTTTTAATAACACTTTTATTTAAAAGACATATAATTCGAATCAATTTAAAAGTTTGCTTTCAAATAGTTTCTATAATATATATATATATATATATTTCAAATTAGTGTGTGTTTTTAGACCAGTAAAAATATTTTTAAAATGTATATTAAAATACTAAATAATTGTATTTCGATTTGTTAATTTTAAGATTTCACCGTGGTATATTGTCCCGTTTTAGATAATTGTAGAAATTAAAAAAATATCTGAATGACTCAATTCCGGGTCAGAGTAAAAAAAAAAATACGACCTGATTAAACGCGCAAATTTGTTTTTCAAAAATGTTAATATAGATTGTACACATACTTTTTTCTTCATCGATTGAGTAATATGTCCGTTTTAAAAACTTTGAATCATAGCATATGCAGAAAAAAACGAATTTTTTTATTAAGTATATATATTTTATAATAGTTCAAAATAATATAAATATAAGATCATATAAAAGTGAAATGAGAATCATATATTTATGTTTTAATTAGGTAGAGTGGTTTTAGGAAATTAGTTCAAATTTGTTATATTAGCATTAAATAATCATATTTGATTTCTATATCTATAAAAATTGTAGAGAATATGCCATAAATAAAGAGTTTAGGTATAGTAATTAGTTGAGAAAACATATATATTTTTAGATTTTATTGATTAATTTTCGTTTTTTAATTTTGTCAAAAATAAGGAAAGATCCGATTGAAGATTTCCGGGTCAAAATTAAACAAAATTTGACCCGATTAGGAACCCCAAAAAGTGTTGCAAAAATGTATAGTAGACTAGATTGTTACCCGCGGTACACCGCGGATTGAATATTTTTATTATTTGTTATTTAATAATACAATAATAATTGGTTTTATTTTATTTTGATTTTTTTTTGTGGTGATATATATATATATATATATATATATTTATGTATTATAGTTGGGATTGTGTTATAAGTTATCGATATTATTTGTGTATAGCATGTTTTAATCGAGTCATATGTGTTACATAAAAATTATTTCCTTTTATATTAATCGTCTAATTGATACTACATAATTATTTATTTTTTAAAAGTTTGGTAATGTGTAAACATACAGCTTGTTTCAACTGTAAGGTTAATTTTCATATATGTGCATTTGGCTTTTATATGTTAAATGTCAATCTGTTTGCATTGGTAATATAATTCTCAGATTTTAGATATCTTGTATTATATGATTTATTTAGATGTGAAGGATTAAAATAATTTTAATCAATATAAATTGCACGATAGTTTGATTTTATTAAGGAAAAATTAATTTTTGATCATGTAAATATGGTTGTGAATAGTTTTTTTCATATGCAAAAACTGATTGTTTGAGATAATAATATGTTTTAATTAATTAGTTTGCATGATATATATTGAACTTAATAACATAATTAACATGTTAATACAAAATAAGGTAACCTCTCATACATGCTGGGCTGTAGACAACAAAGTCCTTTAATGTTACTGGGCAAAAAAAAAAAAATGCAAAAGAACCGGTCGGATTAGTTGATCTGATCCGGTAACGTACCGGCCGGTTAACACAGATTTGATCTCGTTGGTACAGTGAAGACGGGTCATTTTCAATTCCGCGAAACACAATCAACCTAACTTCTTCTTCTCCATTTTCTTCATCTTCTTCTCCATTTTCTTCATCTTCTTCTCCTTCTTCTTTAATCTCGTCTTCTTCAGCTCAAAACCTAAACCAAACAAAACCTTAACACCACTTCTTCTCTCGATCAATCAATCAGCGATTATTCACCTTTAATCGACCATAGATCTTTCCTTAATCGCCGATCCCAATTAACATGGCTTCGAACGGCGCTTCTCCGGTATCTTTCTCACTCGATATCTGTCTGCTACAATTTAGTATCTTTATTTTGGCTCCTTTTCTAATTGACAGTCTTAAACTTCTCCATTTTGTCAATTTCGGAAAATGCGTAGAGGATTGTTGATGCTACTGATAACAGCTTGGATAAGATCAAGCAGCAATTGGAATCGAGGGTTATCGGAACTTGCTTCTGGGACCTCTTATTCAAGCGAGCTGAAACTGTAAGTTCAATTCTTATTCTGACAATAGTATATTCAATAGTTTGTAACTCAAATGATTTTCAGTGTTCTGAGCACAGCTAAACTTTGAATGACATAGCAACTGTACTGATTAGCTAATCGATTAATGTGTGTTTGTCTAGAAATTAACATAGAATCCGACTAATTGAAAGTTATAAACTCCTCAACTTAGCATAAGCAGATCAAAAAATGAAGAGAAGGTAAGAGTACAGTTAGTGATTTTGGGCGGCATAAAGGACTTTCTGATGATTATTTTGAAGTATCTAACCCTTGTTGTATATTAAATAGGAAGCTTCTACCATCAGAAGACATCAGGACAAAAATCTGAAACCAAGGAGAATCAAATCTACATCCTCATCTATGCAAGGTTAGTTTACACTTTCTTCTCACTGAAATGTAATTCATAAACATCTACAACATTTTCATTAATGTTAAGCTAAGATAAATTGAGTGAAAATGAGAAAACTAAATGATTGTGCATCTGCTTGATTGATTGGTACTTTATTCAATACATAAAAAGAAAGACATAACCAAATATGACGAAAGTAAGAGTGTTTAAAGAAGTCAAATATAGTTAGCACAATAACTGGAATTGAAAGTCGATTGATTGGTTGTTACTTTCTTTTGAACCATGAGACATTGAATCTGTGAAAAGGTAAGTAGATTGTTAGTCAAATATATGATTGATTGACTGGGGGTTTTGCTTACCATAAAGCAATTATATTATAAAATAAAATGGTAAACTAAACATACCTTATTTGATAAGATTGTTTGACAAATAATGCAAGAAGCATTATGAGTCAATATTCTGAAAAACTTCTTTGAAAACAACATTAGTTGTTTGCTTTTGAATCTTCCCTTCTTTGTCTAGAATCAGAATTTTCAAACCTGTCTTTGAGGTAACCCTAGATAAAGCAACATATAGTTGCCCATATTAAATCGGGTTTGGGTCAAAATTTTGACCCGATTTGGGTACCCCAAAAACTGCTGCAAAAATGTATAGTAGATACTTATACTATTAGGCTATTAGCGAAATAGATCATCTTATTTTCAAAGCAGACAGCAGAGCAGATTTATTTAGTTAAAGCAGATTTATTATTTAGTTAATGATTGCTCTACTTAGCAACACGTCGCTTTGGCCGAGTGGTTAAGGCGCTTGCCTGCTAAGTAAGTGGGATTTTCCCGCGAGAGTTCGAATCTCTCAGGCGACGATTCTTTTTTTTTTTTTTTATCTTAGTGGGCTGGTCCCAACTAAGAGACGTTAACACGCGCATTTTAAAAACCGACTCTAACGCGTTTAACCAGACTCAACGACTAAACTCGGGTCCGTTCCAAAACAATTATACAACATGTGAATCTCTCTCTCTTCTTTCGTTCAACTTTTTTACTACATACAGTACAGTTAAACTCTCTGTTTACCCGCCCGCCTTCTTTTAACTACATTTGATTGGTTCAAAGAATCTAAACTTTGCAATGCCATACCATATCAATGAACCAAACATAGTAAAACAAAAAGAACCAGATTCTTCACCGGCTCACAATGTTTGGTACTAGTAGCTGTAGCCTCCTTCTCTGTAATCCGTAGAATCTTTGCATAGCATAGACCTGAGTTCCATCATTGATCTCGGTGGCTCCAAGTGCTCTGGCTTCAAAGCGTTTCCAAGCAAGCTTTGCATTTGTGTCGCAAACATCTCATCTAAAACCTAAAGTTATTAAAGAATAAGATAAGAAAAAAAGGCAACGAACATTTTTTTATTACAGTTCCCGAAAGAGTTTCAAACAAAACTTACAGAAACTGCGATTCTCGGGCCTTTGTGCCAAGTCACATTATCTTTCCTATCCTCCAAAAGACGAAGCACATCCTGAAAAGAACGAACAGAACAGTGAAGGTAAATGCAGAAGACAAAAACAACCGGTGTAATGAAATGTAATGATGTCTCTTACCTGTCCCAATCGGTCCCAAATTCCTCTGCAGATTGATACAAACACATCGGGTAAGAAAACACCGTGTAGATGATCGATGGTTTTGTCTAGCAAATCCTTCAGTGCTGTCATTCTGTTTCTAACATCCGGTTCCGCTGTGGTTTCCCTTAAGTCGTGGATGATGCTCTTTAGCTTCATGTGACTTTGTACCCTCGTCTGTTAACATAACGAGAT